CTCTAAATATTTGGTACAGCCATGACATGACATGCACGGTGGGACACCAAGAAGGTACCCATAATGGCAGCACCAATATTGAGTGCACTTTCCGTATTGGATTTAAAGTAGCACCTGAAAACCCCCGATTTGGGCAAGCTTGTGAAAATGTATTTTGTCATTGTTGACTGATTTTTACTTGTATTAACTGACTATAACATATAGGGCTAGCTATATAAAGACTTTAATACATAGTATTTCTGCTTTGTAATATTGTTGTTGTGTAGACTTAACAATAGTTTTTTTGTACCAGAGGCCTATGTGTAGGCTTAACTATCAACAAAAGTAAGTAATCCAAAGCTTTTGTTGCTGGTTTTTAAAGCTGGTATCGAGCATTCCAGATCATAACTCTCAGGTAGATAATTATATTGGAATTTTAGTTGATTCTAAATTAATGCAATATAGATACCTGTATTTTATGTTACTGGGTGTAAGAGGCCTTCCATTATAGTCTACCAGAAGTAGAAAAAAAATGTAAATTATTCTGTGTCTAGAAGACACGTCTCTTTCAGGAGCGATACTGTATTTTTACTATGTTGGTGGTCTGGAGGTTTTAATTTTTTTAGGATTTACTGTTTTAATGTACAGGTATATTTATTATTTTTTTTGGTGTATTTGAATGCAATCTCTGTATTTTCTTTAAGTTTGATATTGATGTTTATTACTGTGAAAAATATACAAATCAAAGGATGAATCCAATTTTAACTGATTTATATTCTGACAATCATTTTGATTTGATCATATGATCAAGACTGTTGGATTAAAGTATTGTTTTTAAAGGATTTTGAGATTATATATCTGCATGTGTTTTTGAGAAGCGATTTAATTTATGGAATTATTACTGCTCATTATCTTCATAAATAATGGTTTAAATATTCTATATGCATTATCTCTTAAGATGCTTTTATTGACAATTTCAGTTTTAAGTACCATCTTGACAGTTTGACCTTTCAGTTCGGTGTTCTAACTTATCTACCCACTCAATAAACTTTCAAAGAAATGATTGCAGTACATTTAGTTTGAATATGCGCGAGGACTACACGGAAGTATTTTTCAAACTTGTACGGATTAAAAGTAAACGTAATTATATTTTATAATTCAGCAGTAAATTTTTATGAAGTATATTTTAGATCATTTAATTGCTTACCAAACAAGTTTAGTTTTGTTGAAAAAAAATTAGGAACTTCCCAAAGTATTATCATGTTTGAGACATTACTAAAGTCGGGCTACATATGGCAAGGTTTTGCCAGTTTCCCCATTTTCGCTTCAATTGTCTAATCAAGGTCGAATCGCAGCGATGTGTTGATTGGGTTTTACCATTAACATGTGTGGGGAATCTTACTAACAAAATGTATTATTACTAGCTTAACAAATTAATGTCATTGTATTATATTAAATAATGCCGGAATATGTTGCTATAATAATCATGATACAAGTACCTTAACTATGAAGTCTACGAGCAAACTGACACATTCCACAGACTTCTTATATGTAAAACGGTCACAAATGATGTCATCATTTTATCGACTTGTAAAGCCAAAAGATATTTTATTTCATAGTTTATATTAATTTCGAGCGTATATAACATTTGTTCCACAAATCTATTTTGGCTGTTTCAAGCGAAAAAAAAAAAAAACAATTCAGAAGGGATGAGAGAGAGAAACAAGCTTGGAACAACCCCAACCAGCGAATTTCTCGTAATTTACTATTAAAAACAGTGGCAGGTGGTACAGTATATAACAAGCCTGGTAAAAATACACCAATTTTTTTATTTTATATTTCAGAATTTGTTAGAGAAATGATTTACAAAACATAATTGTTTATTTGAAAAATCGTATTATAGGTTAAACATATTTTCTAACAAAAACAATCATTTACACCAATGGTTAAGGTGGAAAATTGTGGCTTTGTGGAGCAAATGGGATAGGCTTTCCATATGAAAAATATTCAATGGTAGAAATTAATATATATATATAACTAGAAATGTAGTGTCATGCTTGGGTCTCAGATTTCATAGTTGGATAATTGATTTATACTGTTGGGCTTGTCTGTATGAATGATACTATTTTCTTCATTCAGAGAGTGATGTGAACCATGTTATTCATGGAAAAGGTTGTATAGTTATTTACTTTATATTATGCACATTTATAAGCCTGCAGTAATTGTTTGACTTATATGTTTGAAAAACTTGTGGCCTTCGTGATTGCGTGCCGATGTGTTTTCAGGATATGTTTTCAAAGGTACTGTAAAACCTAAACCCATGTGAATATATTACCGTATTTCACTTAAAATTGTAAGTAGGCGTAATTGTATTTCAGTCATACAGTGGGCTGAATGCTCAGTGTCCCAAATGGCACCCCGTATGCCTAGGTTGTTGAGTAATTGCTGGCTGTAGCTAACTACAGATTACTACAGCCAACTCTTCCTTCCAGTACATAAATGTTTTACGTTTCCTGCTTTTGGATCTATTACTGCATGACTTTTCAACTCCCTATGGTCAGTAGAGATGTCATATTATAGTTTGAAATAACTTCAGTCATTTTGAAGTAGATTGTGTGGTTAGAGTTTAAGGTTGTGTTAAAAAGATTACAATACTGCTATGTTTTACAGAGGCCTACTGTACTTCCAGAGTTACATATACAATTTATTTCATAAATCAACTTTTGCTTCATAAAAAACATGAAAATGTCTCTGTAAAGTAGGAAAATGTGTCAAATTACAATATTATTAGCAGTTAAATATTTCTATTTTTTACTTTAAAGTATACAAATTTCATTATTTAAATATACTATAGGCCACAGTAGCATAATGCTTTTGGAGGACAGAAAACATTATTAGCATGTTAAAGTAATTTGGAGCATTTCAGATGTGTGCAGTATGTTATTTTAGGCGTATCAATTATTATTATTATTGATATTCCACACATAGTCATTAATATTATGACTTTTATCATTAATATTGTATGTTGATTGTTATCTTTAATTAGTTTTATAGTAGTGAATTAAAACTGTTTTATATGTTTAATTTTTATGTTCTTGTTGGTAGAGCTAATACCACACTTGTATTCGTCCTACCTTTTTTGTGGCCCATTAACTCACAGTGGACTTGTACATAGTTGAGCCTATGACTTCTGTTCTTACACTTGGGCAAGATTAGGTTATGTAGTTTACCAGAATGCCCTTTTAACTATAGGAAACTTCGATTTTATGTTTTTGGTGATCCGCTTCTCGAGCGGATCACCTCTTGTTATTGTAAGAGATCTTCTTCATCTTTTTTTTTTATTCTACCTTTCCTTCCATTTCTGTTTGCACGATATCTCAAAATTGCTACGAGGTACGCACAAGATCGCTTCATCGATCATTTTGGCTTCGCCTGGAATAGACATGGTAAGGTTTTCAAGGTGACCAGTCATGCGTGATGTCAACTACGTGCAATTTTGCGTTTTCACATTATCGATCATATCAGCCTAAACCAATTGCTATTTTGAAATCGTATTAAGTGAGCATTAACTTCAGGTCAATGTTAAATGTACTGTACTCTAGTTTTACGCGTGTGCTTCGTAACGCGTGTGTCAAAATTTCAAAATGCTGGAAATCACTTTTTGATTAAATTAGAGCATGTTACACGCCATTTTGAGCATTTCATTTTTTTTTTTAATTTACCACTACGCGTGCGCATTTTACAGAAGCCAAAATTAAGTTTTTTTGTCATATTTTATGTTCTTGACATTGTTTTTACAAGTTTCTGATCATTTCAATCACCTTATGTCCAATAACAATGCCGTACGCACGCATTAAACATAGTGAACTTTGTGCCGATATACAGTGAAATTTTGCTAAAATCAGGTCTAATTTTAAACAGTTACAGCTCTTTAAATAAGAGCTGTAACTATGATTAATAATGAAATATGATTTTCTAGCTCATAATGGCCGATCGGACATTGTGACATCATTATATTGCCATCTGAATTCAACAAACTGAATTTTATCGATGACGTCATTTTTAAAAATGCGCATTTGAGCGTATCTCGCTTATCCTTGGTCGATCGTCTTCCAACTTTGAGTATGGAAGACAATTCTCTTTCGTTATGTGACTTCTTTTTACATTTTGATGACGTCATCATGGTCAAAATAAAGGTTTTTGGTGACCCCCTCATCTTTCTTTCCTCAAACATTTAATAACCCCATAATCGAGATTTCTGAATGATATTTAGTGGGCATAAACTACAGGTCATGCTTAATAGTTACGTACCTTAATTTCCTGCGTTATGATGTGCACGTACGCATGCGTCAAAATACAAATGTGCTTAATATTATGCCTTTTTTCAATCAGTTATAGCTCCTTAGGATGAAAGGTGACCCCCAATTTTTATTACATATTCTAAAAGCACATGAGTTGTAGATATGATTTTATATATCATAATAGCTGATCGGACATTGTGGCGTCACCATATTGCCATCTGAATTCAAAAAACTGAATTTTTATGTATGATAAATACTATGAATTATAATTACTCCTTTACCAACAGGCATTTGTCAATGAAAGTTGATACACATATATCTAATATCAGGAGACAACAGTGACATTAAGATGTGCACGTGCGTCATGACGTGCACATGAGTAAATATTTTTAAATGCTCCAAATTCTTTTTTAACAAACTAAATTAGCATATTTTGAAATTTTCAGCATTTAAATATTGTTCAATCCGCACCGCGCACACTTCTTCGTATCCATGGTTGCATTATAATTGGTCATGAAAATCTATTGTTTTAAATATTGCATGATATTTTGAATCAACATTTTCATGCAAATGTAAAAGTGTACAAATTTGTTTACCCACTTCCCCTAGCGTACCGCTTGTACACTTCTGAAATGTTGATAATTGTAAGCGGCCCCCTTAAGTTAGTAATGACATCAACTATTTAAATTATCATTAATTTGTATTATTTTCACCTTTCAGAGAAGTAGCATTCAACTTGGAGATTTGCAGGGGTGATCAGCAGCAATTTGATTAAGGGGTAGGATTCAAGTTTATAGCTACTGCTCTACGACTAATCAATATCGATTTAATCAGACTCCTGGGGAAGTCTAATATGGAATTTGTTGGTTATCTATTTTTAATGCTCTGGGAATTCATAGAAATTAATGATATTAATCTTGTTTATTGATAAATGAAAAATATTGATAGTTTGTGTGCCGTCAACCTGGAACACAAAATTTAATTGAGTGCTATGTGTGTACTGGCTTAAAATGCTTAAAGTGTTCAATCAAAATAGAATATAACTTTTTATAAGCAATTCTATTCCCCTGATCTTCGTTTATGGGAGAGGATATCCTAATAAAATGAGATAGTTGTGGATGATTAAAAATCCCAGTTGTTCTGCTGGTCAGAATGAAATTTCCCTATGGTACAAAGTATGTTTTATTATCATTAATATTTTTTACTTCCACAGATCATGGAAACATTGTTAAAGTCAGCGAAATTGTGTATTATCACTACTTGCTTGCTTCAAATTCACCTCACCTATGCAATTACAGGTAAGAACCACCTGCAGGAAAACCTATTAATACTGATTACATTACTTTGAAGGGATGGACCGGAAATTATCAATTTAATCAATGAGAAGAAGATCGTAGATAACTTTTAACTTTAATAACATCTGTTAACGGTCACACGCATCCTGACTTTCTTCCTTGATAATATTGTTTAATAACAATTTAAATGAATGGTATTTGAATTCGATGAGCTGAGTGAAAGATTGAAGTCCAGTACCTCGGGTGCGGCCTTTTAAAATTTAGGATCCAGTTTGAACTACCCTCACATCACGGTAGAATATCTGCTTTACAGACGGAAACAGAACGTTCATGCTCAACAATTACTTGGAAATTCTTTTGGGGAAGTCTGTTGTAGATATATAGAGGATTAATTCAAGGAGGTATAGATTTGAGGGTCGAGCAATCATTTAGAATGGCTTGTGCATTAGTAGGCCTATAAAAGGCTCGCATAAAGAAAAAGGGAGCTGTTTGTGCCATTAACCCCCCCCCCCCCCAAAAAAAAGACAAAAAACAAAAAAAAAACAAATAAATAAAAAGGTGGGTCAAAATTAAATTTAATATATTTCTAATGCAAATAACCTCATAACCAACTTGTTTGGAGTCTGGTGTGCAGCTCATGACAGAATAGAAGTCCCTTCTTTTACTTATGGTACTGTATTTCTTATATGACATCATAATACTGGTCTAGTCAATGTCACATGGATGGGAACTACTAAGTCTTGCTCACTCTGCACAAGATGCACATATTTTGAGAGACCAGCTTAACTCAAAGAAAAAAATTCACTGATGCATAGGACCAAATTTAATTGCAAAAGGAAGTATGACATACAAAACATACTGCTTTTATACTTATTTGTTAAAATAGAGCCCTACCTTTTTTATTATAGAGGTCTCTTCTCTTTTTAAAATAACATTTTTTTTAATAAAGTGAATAAATGATGTTTTTATTATATGACATCAAATAGTACTGTTAAGTGTAGCAGAAGTCGTGAAATGTCACGTGGATGTCACGTGGAAAAAAAGTCTTAAGGCCAACTCAGACAGCGTCGGCCGACGCAGCCCGATGCGATTTGTTGTCGCGTCGGGTCTGTGTGAGTTAAACGCAGACGCGATGGTGTGCGTCGCGGGCAGTCGCGTGTCGTAGAATATTAAACATGTTTAATATTTCTCACGACAGCTTAAGACTGTCCCCGACGATAAATCGGGTCGGGCTGCGTCGGCCGACGCTGTCTGAGTTGGCCTTTACACATCCACATAGATGTATGCTTTTGAGAGACTTCTCTCCTGCTCAAAAACCAAGTCACTGGTGCATACAGTATGCCTACAATCCATATCACAAAGTAAATAGTTTGTTGGTTTGTCGTTCGTTTGTTGGTACGAATCACAGGAGCTATACAGTTGCCAATTTTTAATGTAGCTCCCATTAATGAATAATCGCGTACACTATAATCGATTCTAGTTGCTGTTATTAATTGACTGTCGTAGCAGGGTCATGTAAAAAGTATGTGTATACTATAAAGCATACACTGCTCAGTAGTAACAAATTTTACCCCGAGGTGAACGTTTTAAAAAACATTCTTACAGCGCCATTATAAAGCTTGGCCTGCATGTTTACCATTCGCAATTAAGCTGCTTACCTTGTGGGTATTTCCTAAAGGTTTACTACACATTTGACTACCGCCTGAAGCTGTATGTAGCATTTGCATTATTCCAGCCAGAAGAAGCGAAACATATTGTTAATTAGCACTGCAACATTTATAATTTTGCATGCTTAAAAAAAAACATCCCCCACCCCCCCCCCAAAAAAAATTTTTAGTGCATTTTTGTAGCAAGTACACTTGGGTTTGATACTTGGTAAAATTAAGTATGTACTTCACTGTGAATGCATGTAAATTGTATTTATTATTTTCATTTACACCTTTACAGTTACACCGCTGGATCCAATAATAGCTGTGGGATCTGATGTAAACATCACCTGTACACTAGATTCCTCTGAGACTGCATCATATACAGCTGTGGACATCATATGGGAGAAAGACTTGGTTGTTTTAGACTCATCGCTTGTAAATGTTCTCTCAGATTCGGAGGCCATGATAAGTTTACAGAACCTGACGAGGGCTGAACATGCTGCTGCTTACTACTGTCATCTACCTAATGTTCTAAATTTCTGGGAATATGATGGGACAGAATTGCATGTTGGTTGTAAGTTCTCTTTAAGAATGATTTGGTTCTTTTTTGATGATCTAATTAATATTTATTAAAAATAATTATCAATGACATACGCAACATTTTGTTGACGCTCAGAATGCTCAAGTGAACTGTAGGTGTTGTTACAGCTTGGTCATGATGTGACCTTGATCGTGTTGAGGTTGACAGTTTGTCCCCAGTCATCTCTGTATAGAGTTGTTCTTTACTGTTGATTTTGAAGGGATTCATGAAATGGATTTGAGAATGCTGATATATATATGCCAGAGCAATGCATCAATCACAGCATCAGATGCTTGTTCAAATTGTGTACTCATATCATTAGCATTAAATCAGGGGTCCCAAGTTGGGGGAAGTCAATTCTGACAGATCTGCAGTGGCAGATCCAGGGATTAGAAATGGAGAGGGCCCAGGGAGGGACTTTCATGGGTGGAGTGTCTAGAACCGTGCTTCCCAAACTATGGGGCGCCACCCAAATTTGGGTTGCCAAAACATTTCCGAGTGTCGCAAGACTGCTTATGACTTTTAAAGATAAGAGAGACTTTGGTAAAGCGCATTTCGAAACATGTAAAAGTACTTCTACGTAGCCGTCCAAAGAAGAACTCATAAGATTCACCCAGACGTACTGTAGCTACAAAGAGGAAAGCTCAAAATTTAGTATCAACCCAAAAATAAAAATCGAAACAGTCTATCAGACCCTTTCATATACTGACATAGCTGAGGTTGACTGCAGAAATACTGTACAGTATCTTTATTTGATAATATATGCCTTGGGTTGCCAAAAAAAAAAAAAAAGGATTCTGAAAGTGGGTCGCCAACTAAAAAGGTTTGAGACGTAGGGGTCTAAAACACCTCAGCCCCAGCATGGTTAGGGCTAAGGAAAGAAAATTTATTATTATGTTACCTCTGGATGGCCGGAAATGTTACTCTCAGATAAAATTTAAATATGATTTCCTTATTTTGTCCATTATTTTTATAATTTTTTTAAAAATTTAGGGGACCCGGTTCGGCTGCCCCACTACCCCATTTGAATCCGCCACTGACTGGTTAATGGGCATACTTATTTAATTTGATCAAATTGCACAAATTGTGTGATTCCTAAATCAAGATTCGGTGTCTTTTTATCAAAAGTTTTAGCCAGAATTTCATAAAGTCATTTAATGGTACCCTTATTAAGGAGAAAAGATTTTCCCTTACCCCCACTGCAGTCAATGTGGCCTCTGTAAGTAAAATTTATAGTAAATTCTACAGGTTTCACGCAAGAGGGGCTAAATTTGCTGTCCAGAGTCAAATGAACTATGGAAGCTGAGGAAAACTTTATCAAAGATTTTTAGATAGGTATTTTTATCATTTAAATTTCATAGCGGCACCTACACCTCCAACCCTTCAATGTTTTTCAACTACAATTGTTGATTACTGGTGTGAGTGGTCTGAGGTCGAAAACACAAATCTGGTGGAGAACTACACTTTTCAGTTTGAATATCCGTAAGTATCAGTGCTTGTTTTAAATTATGTTATTACTTAAAGCCCCATTCCTGGTAAAATTTCACTAAAAAAGAATTTTTTTTATAGAAAAAATGCATATGCATTACTCTATTTATTATAAACAATGGAACAATATTGGCATAAATTTTAGTTTTATGCAAAAGAATAAAAAAAATGAGAAATACAGACTATTTCGCTTAGGAGATTACCATTTTCTCAACAAATTCTTCGTTACTAGGCAAATTCAGAGGTTGTAGATCGCATCCGCTGAAATGCTCTCGCTTTTATGTATGCTTTATACCTGTCTCTTATACACATCTAGATGTGTATAAGAGACAGGTTTGCAGTGGTTCTTGAAATTTCCAACTGAGATTCATATTCTTTCACTTGACCATCTAACACAATTATCTAAATTACACAAGAATGAAACATACAGCATCATTTGTTGTTTAAATGATTTTTAGAATTTCAGCTTAAAGTACAATATTAAATGCAAAATAATTTCATTTCAATTATCCCCATTTCCTAGGAATTTCAAGGGTGAATCAACAATCAAAATTACTGTATAGAGTTGTTCTTTACTGTTGATTTTGAAGAGATTCATGAAATAGATTTGAGAATGCTGATATATATACCAGAGCATGAGTCAATCACAGCATCAGATGCTTGTTCAAAGTGTATACTCATATCATTAGCATTAAATCAGGGGTCCCAAGTTGGGGGAAATCAATTCTGAGAGATCTGCAGTGGCAGATCCAGGGATTAGAAATGGAGAGGGCCCAGGGAGGGACTTTCATGGGTGGAGTGTCTAGAACCCTGCTAGAACTATGGGGCGCCACCCAAATTTGGGTTGCCAAAACATTTCCGAGTGTCGCAAGACTGCTTATGACTTTTAAAAATAAGACAGATTTTGGTAAAGCGCATTTCGAAACATGTAAAAGTACTTCTACGTAGCCGTCCAAAGAAGAACTCATAAGATTCACCCAGACGTAGTGTAGCTACAAAGAGGAAAGCTCAAAATTTAGTATCAACCCAAAAATAAAAATCGAAAGAGTCTATCAGACCCTTTCTTATACTGACATAGCTGAGGTTGACTGCAGAAACACTGTACAGTATCTTTATTTGATAATATATGCCTTGGGTTGCCAAAAAAAAAAGGATTCTGAAAGTGGGTCGCCAACTAAAAAGGTTTGAGACGTAGGGGTCTAAAACACCTCAGCCCCAGCATGGTTAGGGCTAAGGAAAGAAATTTATGATTATGTTACCTCTGGATGGCCGGAAATGTTACTCACAGATTTAAATTTAAATATGATTTCCTTATTTTGTCCATTATTTTTATAATTTTTGAAAAATTTAGGGGACCCGGTTTGGCTGCCCCACTCCCCCATTTGAATCCACCACTGACTGGTTAATGGGCATACTTATTTAATTTGATCAAATTTCATAAATTCTGTGATTCCTAAATCAAGATTCGGTGTCTTTTTATCAAAAGTTTTAGCCAGAATTTCATAAAGTCATTTTAATGGTACCCTTATTGAGGAGAAAAGATTTTCCCTTACCCCCACTGCAGTAAATGTGGCCTCTGTAAGTAAAATTTATAGTGAATTCTACAGGTTTCACGCAAGAGGGGCTAAATTTACTGTCCAGAGTCAAATGAACTATGGAAGCTGAGGAAAACTTTATCAAAAATTTTTAGATAGGTATTTTTTATTATCATTTAAATTTCATAGCAGCACCTACACCTCCAACCCTTCAATGTTTTTCAACTACAATTGTTGATTACTGGTGTGAGTGGTCTGAGGTCGAAAACACAAATCTGGTGGAGAACTACACTTTTCAGTTTGAATATCCGTAAGTATCAGTGCTTGTTTTAAATTATGTTATTACTTAAAGCCCCATTCCTGGTAAAATTTCACTAAAAAAGAATTTTTTTTATAGAAAAAATGCATATGCATTACTCTATTTATTATAAACAATGGAACAATATTGGCATAAATTTTAGTTTTATGCAAAAGAATAAAAAAAATGAGAAATACAGACTATTTCGCATAGGAAATTACCATTTTCTCGACAAATTCTTCGTTACTAGGCAAATTCAGAGGTTGTAGATCGCATCCGCTGAAATGCTCTCGCTTTTATGTATGCTTTATACAGTCACTAAAGTGTACCCTCTCTAATGAAATTGGTTCTTGTAGTTCGCATCTCGCACGCTGCGATCGATCGAGTAGGCCTGAGATATGTTTGTTTAATTGTCAAAATCTCAGTCAGAATAATTTGTTTAACAGTGTGAAATAATTCCTATGAAATATAATATTTCACAAGTGTCAATACTAGCAACGGAAAATATCATGTCGGCCGTTTTTATGTGTGTACAGTAGGCCTAGCCTAGCAGTGTTGGATAGGCTAATGTTTTCGGCACCTACTTTATTTCTTCACAGACCTATCACAAAATCAAACACGAAAAATAATTTTTTTTTCATGTTTGAACACAAAAAATCGAATTTCAGTCTTATTTTACATTTTTTTCATGTTTAGGAATGTCTGAATTCAGTTAAATTAGCAATTTCGTATTACATTTATAAATCTTATGTATATAAATCAGGTTTTTCTTAACAACTGAAATCTTGCCGGGAATGGGGCTTTAATACAACTTTCTGTCCAAATATTAGATGTTCAATATAAATAATTATGACAAACTTGTTGGTTGCTGTGATGTTTGCCTGCAGTCTGAGATGATAGAAATCCATCCAATAAATATGGTTTTTTCAAGACCAAATTTCAAAGAACAACACTCTATGATTAATTGGAATGAACTTGAATAGCTTATTGGTTAAGATGCTTGTCTTCTAATACTAGGGTCCTGGGTTCAATTCCTGTGAAAGTGGAACTTTTTCTCACGACTGAAAACAACTCCATTCACTAAGCCACATAATTTGACTTTGCTGATAAAAGCATCACTTTATTTCATTTATTTAAAGATGGCCCCTGAAGTAACAGTACTAGGATATGCTGGAGGGGTCACACTCTATAAATATGGTAAAAAAAAAAATCCTATAAAGATGTATTAATTATGATTGAATATATGTAATTTAGTGTTAAAAAATTATGAAGGATAAAATTGTGTCAATACATTGCATTTTGATGTAACTTCATACCTGCTTCTCATTTCTTCTTAGTTCCGGCACATGGAATATGTGCCCCACATATGTCAATAAGTACAAATGTGAGGTTCCAGTGAGTGATGGAGATGGTAACCTTGTGAATCCAGGAGTTCGCCACCAGGTCAGAGTCATAGTTCAAAATTATCTTGGAAAAGCAACCACCCAACAATATTTTTGGCCGGACGGAGAAGGTACTTATTATTAATTATTAATTACTAATTATTGTTGTTATGGTCCACCTCTTCAGTAGTAGTGACTTAGATTGCATGATCCTCTGATTTTTCCACTCTTGATCAAATTCTATGAATGTTATATTTGACATATCTTGTTTTCAATAGTTTGTAAATTAATATATATTAGACCAACTTGTTTGTGTATGGTAATTCTGGGAAATAGTCTAATTGTTATTTATAATTTATGCAGGTACTGTACAAAAGGTTGGAAAATCATTAACATAATTTATATTTTTGCAGATGAGCAAAACTATGAAAAAATCCAGAGTGTCATGAAAAGGGCATTCGCCCATCCTCTTCTCTGTTTTAAGCCAGTGTAAAGTCATTTAGTAGATCATCATTCCACAGACTATGGGTTTCACAAAGTAATTTGGTGGGTCACCAACTTGATAGAAATCTTCAAAAGTCAGCTAGCTCTTCTGTCACTAGATACATTATTGGCAGTAAATTACATGGAAAAGCATGTTATTTAGTAGTACAATTCAGTGTTAAACTTGACTGTATTTAACATTTTCAGTTAATTTATATAATTTGTTTTAGCTGTTCCCCTTCCCCCAATTGTTGAGACTACTAACACCAGCCAGACAACACTGACCATTAGGTTTGGACTGCAGGAAGAGTTAGGGAATTATGCCAAGTCCAGCTTGCGGTATCACGTTCGTTACAGCAGCAGTGATTCACCTAATCACTGGATAAAGGTAGTTTTATCAAATTTTCCTGAAAAGTTTTATGAAAAATCTTAATCCTACTTAAACAAAAATGCACAAAAACCAATATAACTAAGTATAAAAATCCTGCAAAGAAAAAAATTAGTATTAAATACAACCTGAGAAACTCCAGTGATCACTCTCTTAATCGCTTAATAACTAATGATTCCAAAAAAGCATGATACCTTATTTTGTTGGATTTTTGGAAACTATAAGGCAATTATTTTTAATATACAAGAAAATGAATTGATAAATTAAAAATGACTTAAATGACCCAATTAATTTTCAATACTGACAACTAACTATAAGCGATATTTGAATGAGCTTTGGTGTTGATGTGGTGGTCAATGGAGTTTTTATTTTGTTCTTGTTCTTTTCCATGGTTTTGTAATGACACTATTTGATGTATTTCATATTTTGTGCTCATGTACTGTAAATAATGTGTAATTTAGATCCGTCTACAATACGTTATAATGCCTTTTCTTTCCCTTTAAGAAAATTATTATCGATATTGACGTAGTAATGTAGTAGTAATAATAATTATAATTGACAATAGTGAATAGTGAATGACAATAATGTTTATAATAAATACGGTATGTCAATCTAAAGCTAATTAATAATAGAGTATATGAAAGAAAATATTTCAATATTTACTAATTTATCCTTGGGTTTCATGAAAATATGTTACAAATGTATTTTTTTAAACATATTTATTTGTGCAATTGATTATGGATGCATAAATATTTTCATGATTTTGTTCAGATCAAGTAAACAACAATATGTTGGGAAAAATAAATTATAATTAACTTTTGTTTATCAAGGATTCAGATCTTAATAATCGCGATGAGCAACTGACCATTTCGGGTCTGGAATATTACACAATGTACGACTTGCAAGCTCGTGCTAAATTCTCAGGTGGTAGCTGGAGTGAATGGGGACCAGTAGCCTCTGCGAGAACAGATGAAGGGGGTAAGTACACTGAACCTGTTAAAGGATAAACAGTTTTTTTTTTTCATTTAGGCCTATCTTTTTTATTTTATTAAGTAACATTTAATTGATTGAAAACTTTATTTTGAGTGCAATGTGTTATTTATTAATTTTTTTTTTCAATTGGTGTTAATGTTTTGATGAATGCATCTTTGTCCTTGTAATGTTGATGATGTTATAACTATTTAATATTTTAAATTCCCATTTTTTTTTATTACAAGATTTTCATATCACTATAATGAATTATTTTGAAAAAGGGCCTCTTCGAGTCAGCTTTGCTGTTTATACTATCCTGTCAAAGTATTGTTAATAACAGTAACAATAAACTTTATTATCAATATACTGAAAATAGTAAACACTCAAAATTTAAAGTTGTTATAGTACTAACATTTAAGCAGTTAAAATGCCACCTAGAACCCATCTCAGATTTACGTGAACATCAGAGTTTCAACAAATTAACTAAACAAACATTAATTTCATTTTAATTAATTTTAATATATATCTGTTTCAAAAGGATCAAAATTATAAATTATCAACTTCCAATGAGGCATCCACCAACTCAAATAACTTATGCTGACTTAGTCTCTAGTTTAACTTTCAATTGGTCTAAATTTATTATATCCTAATAATAACGTTTTCAAATACAAGATACAAGATAACTTCATTGTTCGAAAGAAAATTACATTTGCAAATATAATATAAACTCAATTTTTGATATTCTAACCATGAGACTCATTTTGTGGTGAGGCCTCACATTTATTCTCATTTTTGCTATTTTTATAACTGTCTTGCAACTTTTGTTATTATTACTATTTTTATTATTATTATTAATAGTATTATTGTAGTAATACTGCATTCCATTTTTTAACAAGCATTGCTTTATGGAATCGCACACTTGAAATTGTAAATTGGGAGCTAAGGCAAGTGAAATAAATTTGAATTTGAATTTTGAATTTTGAATTTGAATTTAAATTTTATGATGTGACTTGTAAATGTGTAGTGTACACTGATGATTCTCTTTTTTACTTTCTTCCTCCGACTTTGTCAGCATTCAAATTGAACTTTATCATAATATAAATTCTATTGCAAATGATTTGAATACAGTTGACATACTGTACTCTTACGGTACGCTAACAAAACAAAGTTTATGGTCTTTGGTACTAGGTTTTCCCTAAATAATTACCAAAATATTTCTTAAAAATTTAATGTTCATGTTATTGAAAAGGTGAATGATTATGAATCTTGGTATTACTTTTGACACCAACTGGAATTAGGATAAACACACTGATTAAGTTTCATCTAAATTTTCTCAGCACATTGGTGTCATTCGTAGAATTAGGTATTGTCTTCCTAATGCTTCACTTCATCTGCTTGCAAATGCTCTTGTAATTCTGAGTTTTTAATATTGTAGTTATGTTTGGTGTAATTGTAATAATGATAATTCAAATTCCCTACCAATTTTCCTAAACTGTTTTGTTAGAATTCTTCTGTTTACTGATATCACTACTCTAGTCCATCATTTAATGTTGCCATGAAAAAATGGGATGAAATTTTGTTAATGGATTTTAAATGTTTACAAGGCTTTGCCCCTGATTATTATTTCCAAATTTCATTTTAAGAATTCTGTTCACCTTAAAAATACACACAGTAAAATAAAATCAAATAGAAAATGACTATAAATTCTCAGTAATACTGTGTTATACAGAACCAATATCCATATTAATGGGCGTTTTTCTTGTTATCTTGGATTTTTCATATATGTTTTTACAACTAGAATACTAATAAAACTAATTGTAGCTATTCATGGGTAGAGATATATCACCATAAGTATTATTATCTTACAATTTTAGCACCTGAGGGCGCTGTTAATTTTACAGTGCAGGAAATTAATGATAAATTCACGAGAGACATCTTGCTGCGTTGGACTGTAAGTATTCTCTATTTTTTTTTTCAAATTAATTGTAGAAATACCACTGTGCTACTAATGACATGTTCAGGATACACATTTTGATATAATTTATGTATAAGATTTTTTATAATTTTTTATATAAAAAATACAATATTTTGCTTTGGAGCTTACATAGTGGCTTACAATAATTGTTGGTGGGCTATGTTTTGTTTTTCTATATTGTATTTATTATATATTTGGTACAATAAATCAGAAAATGGCCAGAGGGGTGCCAAGAGGACACCAAAGACTGAGAGCTCAAAGATGTGTATATATATATATATATATATATATATATATATATATATGGCCGTTTGCTGTTTTATGGGTTTTTCCCATTTGCCTTTCAAACTTATATATTATTTAAGAATCTCTATTGAGATCCAGCGCCGCCATTGATGCACGGTAGAGATTGCATCTTTAGATCTCCGATCTTGTTGACAAATTCACGGACTAGTGCTGTCTCGTAAGAATTTCGTAGGACGCGTTAAGAATGACAAAATATTCTCTGTATCTACTGGAACCGAGCCACATAGCTTGTATTCCACTATTTGCATTCACACCTAAACCGTAAAACAAACTGCAAGTAGTACAAATTAAAAAATCACTATTATATATCCAAAATATTAAATAAATATATAGCATGACATAATAATTCTTTTTATTGTGTTTTACAGTATTATATTTTATTACTACTATAGTTTTAGTGCTTTTAACATTATATTATCAAAATTAATCAACTGAGAGACAACGCAAAAAAAAAACATGATTTTTTTGGGGTTACCGCTATGAGATATTTCCTACATAGAAGACCAAGTACACAGTCTCTCCAGATTTTTCTGGAGTAAACATGACTCAATTGCCCAAAGTTCATTTATTTATTTATTTATTTATTGATGTGCATGACACACCTATGTGTTTGGTCATATTCATTGACACTATATTGGTGTGTTTGTGCATGTCAATAAATAAACTTCATTGATGTCTTTTTTATTGATATGCATTGGTGCACCAATGTGTTTGGTGTAAACTGTACTGTTAAAGTAAAATGTACTGTTGCATTTATATCCAGTGTATTATTCAATCTGTTTTCCAATTGTTATTGTATCTCATTCAAAGCATTTTATTAAATTACTGAGGGTAATTTTCTTAGGTTTCATTGGTTTTTCACTTTTGATATTCATGGATGCATCACAGTTTTGCGTTGTGTGTGTCACTGTTGTTAAAGTGAGCCCCAAAAAATATATCTATTTGCAATGCAATACAACTTCATACACATATAAAAGACAGTGCAAGTGTGTTAAATCACTAATACATACTATATTATATTATATTATATATTAGGCATTATAAATTAAACTTCTATTTTGAATTATGTCTTTTTTATGCAAGTCAATTTAATATTTTTAAGACTTGTTATGAGGATTGTACGTTATTGTTATTATTGTTATTAATATTATTATTATTATTATTATTATTATTATTATTATTATTTTATTATTATTATTATTATTATTATTATTATTATTATTATTATTATGTTGTAATGATGTTGTTTGTACTGTTTTTTAATTTTATTAAAGAGGGTCCCAGAATATCAGTTAGCCTACTGGGCTAAACTGGAAGGGTTACCCTCTTTAAAGATGGTTGAAATAAAAAAATAAATAAAAACTAATGAAAGCAAAGTACAGCAGATTACCATAACTAATTATAGGGTTGTTTTGATGACATATACTCTACCCAATGCTCTGTTGTTTGACCCATGTTTATGATATCAGACAATAAACTATACAGTACTTAATATGTACTGTATGTTCACATGGAATAACCAATTGACCAATTAACAGCTACATCATCATGGATGTATTATATTTCTATGATTACATAAAAGATGTGATAAGGGGAACCGCAGTAATGTAATCCAGTGTTTACCATTGTTTAATCAAGTTTAATGGAAAATTACAATGTACTGTACAATACTGACCATCACCAATGTCATTGAGATGATAAACAAAAATGATCCTACTGGTAGTGTAAAACCTTTGTAGTATTAATTTTTAATAGGTTATGTGTGTGCTTGTGATTTAAGAAGCAGGATGATTATTATTTTTTTAAATTTTTTGCTGATATTTGTTATTGCTATATAGAGATTTCCTGAGAAAGATTTGAATGGTCAACTACTTGGTTATCGTGTAGCTCTATGGGGAAGCGACAGTGAGAGTAAGATTAGTGAGTATCAGGTGGACGCGGACACTACTATTTACACAATATCAGGTAAGCCAAAATGTTATATTGATTTGCATACACAAAGAAATTATAGGTATGCTGTATCACTATGTGTTTCTTATGCAAGATTCAAGATTCATTCAAGATCTTAATTATGACTGTCCTATTTATCTACTACTCTAGCAGGCGGGGATCCAGTAGGGTGGGCACATACTCCGTGCCCCTCCCCCACCCTCGTTTTGCAACTAAATTTTAAAATTTTCAATGCATATTAGTGTTATGTGCTACTCACTTATCTATTCTGAAACTGTTGTTCCCCCTCCCCTCTCCCTATTTGGAAAATTCTGAATCCACCCCTGAAAGCTACATTCTATAAGTGAAATTTTATATAAAATTATTTGAAATTAATTTAAATACATTTTTTTTAAACAGACCAAACACAGTATGAACAGTTCTATGTGAGTGTTGTTGCATATAGTTCTTTTGGAGAGACTCGGCATGATAAGGTACAAATACTGGATAAATCCAAAAGTAAGTTTCAACAAATAGAGCAAAGTGTAGTTCTGACTTGGTGGGTGTAATGTTTTTGTATTTTAGTGTCCCAGGAACTGGATTCAACCAGTAAAAGATTAATCTAAAAAAGCCTCTCACTACAGGCTGTTATTCAAACATTTACATATCTATTTACAATGTTTATTTATCCAATTTCAACAGAACTCGAAACACAATAATGCAGTCTCATTCTGCACATGAATTGATTGTGTCTCTTATGTTGCATATACATGTTCCATATCCATAACTCTTGAAATTTTTGGACAGGCTCTAGCATGAACTCCCACAAGCCTCTCACACGAGTTTATCAGCTTCTGGATAATTTCCGCAGTCAGGATTAGTTAGGATCAGGGTTCAAAGAAATTAAGAAACTTAGTTTAAAAAATATGTATAACAAGAAAATTAAAATAAGAATAAACAAAAATTATGCCCGCCCACTAGGTTTTATAAGCGCAGTTAAAAAATGGGCAATAGGGCAAAAACTTCAGTTTGTTGAAGTTAGCCGTATAACTTAAGGAGGAAGGAAGAGCAAGAGAGATTTTTCCTTAATACAAACTGTACATGGGTATCACTACATTTAACTAATCAGTATCTATAAGCTCAATTTTGAATTGTCTTTCAAATTGCGACTCCACCACAAAAATATTGTACAAAAGTACTATTGTATGCCAAGATTTCAGGAATATGAATATATTACTGTATTAAAAATGTATTTCTACTTACAGCTAGTTATGCCAGCACATAGGTCTGCTTGGACTTCATGTTAGACTTAATCATTAGGCCGACCAGCCCTCCATAAACTAACGTTAGAATACCGCACTTTCGGCGGTAAAGAACAATTAAAACCTCATAAAAAAGGCAACTAATCCGTTTACCTATAATTGAATCCAAGGACACCAGTGTTAAACACTCAGTACTTATACTTGATAATGTGTTAATCCAATCAATATAGTGAGATAACCTAATGTTAGTTTATCGAGGGCGGGTTGAGCTAATGTTATACAAGTATTGCCTTGAAAACTATAGTAGATAAGCTCTTCTTAAGGTCTTTTACTTTTTTAAAATATTCCCTTTAATCCATCTGATTTAGTAAATGTAACAAAAATCGACAAATGTTGTAGAGAATATAAAAGTTTGTACAACTTTCAACCAATTTGTCTTTAGAGCCAGGGAAGCCAACAGGTCTTGATGGAGAGGTGTTGTCATGGAACTCAGTCAATATAAGTTGGGGGATACCTGATGAGCCTGGAAGCCTCACTCTTTTGTATTATATTGAGTGGCGTGACAACAGTCAGACGTGAGTAATAATAAATAATAATAATAATGTCATTTTTTAGGCGCACGTATCCATCCCTAGTAGGGGTGCTCGCGGCACCGTTTTCCACCTGCCGAGTGTACATGTAGCCATACTGAGCCATACTTGTCAACACAGGAATCAACAGAAGACAATTTCTCAGTTCTGCACAGGACAGTAATGTTATAAATAAAAGAAAAGTTCAATACTCAAGTCAGAAACTGAGGCTTCTTCCATGCACTTTGCCTGTCCGCAAAATCAACAGAAGACAACACTGTTGTACAATGGTCTAACGACCACCGCGTAACAAATTCAACTCTGCTTCATGTGATTGCTAGATGGCGCACTGCGACACCATCTGCTGATTGTCAGTAGCAGTCCGAAAGGATCATTAAAAACGATCCGTTGTGCGCGCGTTGAATTCTTCATGGAATCGTATCGGCCGACAACTGTAGTTCGCAGTGAGTGCCTGATACAAGTCAAATGATTTATTGCAGTCACTTTCAATTTGAAATTAAGCAAACAAGAAAGTACATTATCATTTATTGAATTTTGAAATATTTTAAAGATGACAATACAAAATTTAATGAAACATGATTTGAGAGTGTCCAGTCATCTAGAGATGTCTGCATCATAAAACAGTTCTTACCACAAGTCCAAATTTGTTGGTGCTGAGGTGGGATACTCTGGCCAACAGTTGTTGCCCATTACAGGACCTTATTTGGGCTCCTAAAAAAAAAAAAAAAAAAAAAAAATAGAAAGGGAGCCTTGAAATAAACTCTTTAAAATTTTACGCTGTTTATTAGCAGAAATATATATTCACATATTTAATATATTCTTTCGTATCTTATATATGTCAAACTATGGTTTTTGTTGACTTTACAGTAAAAGTGGTACAGTTTTTTCAAATGCCCAAGAAGAGCCGATGGTGTCATATCTTGTTACGGATCTTGAAGCTTACACAGAGTATACGTTCCAAGTAAGAGCCCAAAATGGTGATGGTAATGGCCAATATTCTGAGGCCATAAAACGAACAACTTTTGAATCAGGTATACATACATGTTATTGTAATGCTATTAAAAAATGGAATAAACTTTCTGACTATATGAAGCAAGTATCTAATTCATTTCGATTTAACATTGAACTGAGGAAATACCTTAAATATAAAGATAAAGAAGATGAAAATTAATAGTGTAATCTTTTTAAAGAATTATTATTATCAATGAAATTGCAATTTATGTATTACGTATTTTGTGATTAAATAAATTTCCATTTCTATTTGATTCCTTTTTATTTTGCTTTTTTTTTCCTTTGTCCTTTTTAATTTACAAGGGACCACATTGGGAATAAGTTGTTTAATTTTAAATGACTTTTATGTGTTATCCATGGCATCTTTATCTGACCTTTATTTTTATTTTAATTTATTATACATTTCTTAGTTCACGTCTCTTTCATGTTTTCTTGATCCTAACATTTTTAATGTATTTTATCTTGTATGCATTTTTATGATGATGCCAAATAAAAGAAAGAATGAAAGAAAGAAAGAAAAAAAATTAACAAGTTAAAATGTTTGGAGATTCATTATCCATTTTATTAGGGAAATTTTAGAATTATCACCAACATATATTTGTCACCCCATTATTGTCTTCATCATCTAGAATTTTGATCATTTTTATATCCATGACCTTTTTTTTTTTT